AACATCAACGCGCAAAACTCTTGAGGTGTTTTGGATAAATCTCAAAAATCCAAAGATGAACCGGAAGGAAGAATGCCTCACTATCACGCGTGACCTGGCGTCCTATTTGAAAATGATATTTTGACCTCGGGGTGTGTCATGCTCGCGACTCCATGCGAACTACGTGTGGGCCAGTCCCACACGTAACATCACGGTGAGTGGCCTTTCTGTTCAATATGCCGCCTATTTGAAAGTTTGATCTTCATTAACACTTTAACCTTTCTTTTCCACCGAATAATAAAAATATTCTAATATAAATTACGTCCAGGCTCTGAGGAAGGCGAAGTCGCTGAAACGTTAGCCATCGATCAATAACGTCAAAAACAGCGACAGCGACAACGAAGATCTGTACCAACCGCGCGTCAGCTTAAGAAGATCAGTTTATTAGATCATATAAATAAATATAATAGAAGACCGTAAAGAGATAAGAGCAGCAGTTGTGGACGAAGCTGCATGGGCTGGTAAGGACATTTGCGAAGCCTACCGAGGTTTTGCCAGTTGCGAAACCAAAATGATTGTACACCGGTGCTCAGACAAAGCAGTTATAGCTTCTAGAAAGGCAATGGAGAAAACCGTCCACAATTTCCAATCTCCGCAATTTTTTCAATTTTTCGAAAGCATTCACGATGGCTACTTCGGTCTCTTCAATAGCAACGTCCTCCTGGCCTCGTACGAAATAAAAGAGGACGAATGTGTCGTCCCAACTCCAACATCCAATATGCTGTTTCCTCGGTTAAAAATCGAACAACACGAGATCCAAACAGGATAAGACGTGAACACCCAAAGGACCTTGTACCAGCCCTCATCAACTCACTGGTTCGGTTCTTCACACGTTATTTGTTAGAATGGTAGTTCTTTATTCATTGGAGAATCGGTAAGACTTTCCTACTGTTCAAGGTGACTTCCGCGAAATCGGCAACTATCGCCCAATCTGCTTAATGTCTGTCCTCTGCAAACTTTCACTCCAGTAATCCTAAACAGGACTGGCGGAACAGTAGACTAAGGATGGCCATGTGAGCAAGCATGGTGGCGAAGAGGCTTCAGTAAGATTAACCAAATTCACACGAGAACGGGGCTCATAGAAAAAAAACGAAGCGAAAAACGAAAGTGCATGACGCGGCTCTGTTCCACCTTCATCGATTTAAGGAACGCATTTGATTCAGTTGAGATAGAACTAGTCACGGAAGCCTTGGGCACTTATGAAGTCCCTAATAAGTATACAAAGATTTTTCTTAAGCTGTATAAAAATCTTACTACCAAGATATCATCATTCTGCAATGATATTAACATCGACGTCAAAAGAGGGATTAGGTGAAACGAAACCATCTCGCCAAAAGTATCCATCGCCACCCTCGAGAACGTCATCTGAACATTAAAATGGGACAACACGGAAGTGAAAATCGATGGTCGGCTATTTCACCATTTTCGCTTTGCTGATGAGATTATTCCTGTAACACAAAGTATTAGCAAGGGATATCCAATGCCCCTCCTAGCGGTTTGCCGCCTCATCGTGACTGGGAGGTGTTCTTGGGTGTCGGACTGCGATGTACAGCGGGTGGATTCGTTCCCTCGGCAGGGTCTCTCTCCCAACCCAGGAGTCAGGCGTTTCAAACAGAAAGCCTAGGTAAGAGTAAACCAATACCGGGATCTACCGCCGTCTTGGTGTCAAAGTCGCATGGTGGTAAATCTCCCTCTGATCGACAAGGGCTGCGACTGCCTGTCGTGGTGATGACCTGAGGCATACTTTGGCCAGGCTGTCCTCGGAATTCCAGGGAACCGCAATGGCTTAACCAGCAAGTCTCCGAAAAATGGTGATTATGCTGGGGCCCGCACAACTAGTGATAACGGGCCGTTCAAGTATAAAGTTTGAAGTATCCAATGCTTGCCGGCTTCGATAACGCCTGTGAAGAGATTGGATTCCGGCTAAATCTCGCAAAAACTATGTTCATGAGGAATGGATTGGTTCATGTGCCAATCACGCTAAACGGTATGAAAACCCCAGATGCTCCAGTTATATCTATCTCGATCGGGAAATCAACATGATGAACGACTTAGCCCCAGAGTTGAAGAGCAGGAAGCGAGCGGCTTTGGGGGCTTTCAAGAGCATCGAGAATGTAGCGAGGAGGGCAAAAAGCAGGCGATTCCGTGCCCACCTTTTCGACTTCACGATTCTTTCAGTCTTAATGTATGCGTGAGACGCCCGGTTGCTTTCTAAGCAGGATGAAGGATCACTCAACGTTAAAGAAAGCGCAGTCGAAGGGTCGACCAAATGGTATTCTGTTTCACGCAAGTGGAAGGTGCTTCGAACTACCAGTGAAAAAAACTGAGATGCTTTTCTACACGCTAAATTATTTAGGATAAGGATGTTGGATACTTAATGCGTAGGAATGGTAACCGATGCGCAAAAGCTCTTAATGACTGAATCCCTTGAAATATCAAACGTACTATAGGAAGATCATTGATCTGATGGTCAGAGTTTTTCACGAGAACCATGGAAGACAGACATGATGCGCAACGAGTCGCTAAAGCGAACACTTAATAATTTCAGTCTCCTTTAACTGTTTATCGCCTATATATTAATAGCAATAGGCATAAAGCACGCAGCTCTGATCAAACCCTGGGGAACACGCCATGGATTCGACTTCGTCAAGCATCGTTAAGGGTGGCTGGATGTATAACTGGCCTACACAATAACTACCGGTGTATCAATTTAGTAGTATTATAACTTCAATGATGCTGAGATATTTGCAAAACTCCGGACCGCAGGTGTAGTATTATTATCGAAGACAAATCTGGAATGAATAGCTGACCTCGGAGCTTGCTGAGATACGAACGCTGGATCGAACCTTGAGGGCTGGTCTCGAGCGCTTTCAATCGCATTGAGGGGCCTGGTGCTTCACAATGGTTAACATCAACAAGGGGTTCATTGACCGACAGCATCAACTTAGCCGAAGAGTTCGAAGTTTTCGCACAGAAGTGGGCTTATGTTGACCGACGCACAGCGAGCGAGTATTGGTATCTTTTCCTCAAAAGCAGTAAGATGAGCAGAGATCTCATACTAGTGATACTATGATACCCTGTTAGTTTACGAGTGAAGCTCTTCGTTTCCACTAGCGAAGGCACCCATGATGCGAGGGAGGGAGGAATGAAACTTTACTGTTTCACGCTCTAGTAATTTCACAATTACAGGTGACAAAGGTGATCAGGTGCAAGGCATTCAATTGTTCCTAGTTCTCTCATCATTTTTTGTACAAGCTGCGTGTTTCTTTGCTGCTTCTTTTCTCGTAACAGCTTCGTGAATACCAGTGAATATACGGGGTTTACACGGTTATCTAGGAATTGTTTAATGATGGACTTTTTCTGTGGTCGATTAGTGCGAACGAAGTTAGATAGGTAAAAACCCTAAATTACTAATGGGTAAGGAAACTGGTTTTTTGACGATTTTTCTTACTGGAATTCAAAACTTTTCGCTTGCTCGTCGGAACCCAGATCCTGCCATATTAAGCGTACGCTCCTCAAAGTCTACACATTTCTGATTCAACAAATGATTTTCCGTAAAAGAAAAGATGATCGAATTAAAGGCGAAGATGGGAAATACCGCAGTGGTAGTGATTCCGTTTGATACGCACAAGATCCCAGTTCAATCCTGCACTGATCAATCAAGCTTCAATCTCGGCCATGGAATTGGTATCAAAGTTGTCTGCCATTTCTTCCAATCCACTGCGATTGCTCATGATGAGGATTTGAGAACACCCTAAATGTTCGACGATCCCACAGAGAATCGAGTCAACAAACATTCAACCATAGCCATGAAAACGCCCAAGATCTTCAAACAGCCGAATTAGCCAGTAAATCCGGTAACCTTCCTGGATTAGGATGCGAAGAAATGAATAAAATGCAAGCGTTGGGATTCACATAGTGAGTGACTTCAGGGCGTCTGAAAGAAATCGAAATTTGTGCTTCTTTTCTCAAATCTTCGTTATAGGAAAGTATTCAGCAATTTTTGAGAGTGAAGCAGAAGCAATAGTGGAAACAGTGTGGCGAAAATTCGTAAAGTTTGTCCTACGAAGAGTTACATGAATGTCGGTGTTACTGAAAACTCGCTCAGACCTGTCTTAAAAGTAAAAATGTTTGTGAAGTTTCTTCTATACTTTGTCACTATGACTCGCTTCACCTGAAATTCTAAGAGTCTAACGAAATTGAAACAAAGGTGGAAAGGCAAAGAAAAGCAAATTAAGAGCTTCAGTGGTGGAGTGGAGAGAACACGTGATATCCCGGAAAGGTAATGTGAGGTTGCAATCTGTCCTGCGATCTAAGTTTTTCAAATATTTCAGCTTCATTATAGCTGTATTTCAAATAACAACCTGCCATGAAAAAAAACAATGGGCACCAAATAAAAAGTTATACACCCAGGTGTAGTGTCCACGGGCCTCCTTCACATGAGGGATTTTGATTCTGATTTTGATTGATTTTGATTTCGAGTCGGCTAATCTCGAGGCTAGGTGGCACACCCCGGGTGGAGAATAGGTGGTTAATCGTCGACCGAAAGGGAGCTCTGCTTCCTTGAGACGAAGATGGATCCAGCAGTTCTCCCTGTCCCTGAACTCCCTGTTCCCGCTGCGCCGATTTTTATATGGGAGGGGGTTAAGAGTTGCCTCTAACATATAAGCTCCACGTACACTCTAGGAGAGACTGGCGAACTACACATGAGTATACACGGCCCCAACGTTCAGGGTCCAGCAAGATAAACGGGGGTATCAAAATGCTAAACACAGTAAGAAAAACGGGCCTCATTTCCATGACGCCGAAAGACCCCCAATTCGGCAGCGTTGGGTAGGACGAGTACGGTGGGACTGCTGAAATCTCAAGGCCATTCTAAGCCGCCTAAACCCCAAAAAACTAAGGCGACGATCTGTACCCACAATGCACGTATATCTGCAGCCGAGTCCTCGATAAAAGACTTACTCATGCAAGCAAGAAGAATAAAGTTTGACGTCATCGGCCTGGCCGAGACGAGACGATGCCACCCATTCAACGCCGCCTGTGACACCGTAGAAGAACTGTTCCTCGGAATATGCGACAATAGAGGTGTCCGCGGAGTCGGTGTTCTCGCCACCATGAAGTTGTCCATGAACCGATTCATTTGAACAACCAACAACCCAAATCGGAGGATTACGTTTGAACAGATGTGAATCAATAGCGGCTTTGACAATCGCAATGGCAAAAGGGGATCTTAGAGAGAGAAGAGAAGCAGTTATGGGCGAAGAAGCAGAGACTAGGAAAGGCATTCGCAAAGCCCACCGAAGCTTCGTCAGTCATAAAACAAAAATTATTGCACTTCGATGCTCCGACAGTCCAGAAAAACAAAGAAAAAAAAATTATTCACGGCTATTACTCACATCTCTCCAATAACCACGTCCACCTTCCCTCCTATGAAACAAAGGAAAATGGATATGCCGGTATCGCAAATATCGCCCAATCTGTTTGCTGTCTGTCGTCTACAAACTTTTCACTCCAGTCGTCCTAACAAGGATTGACAGAATACTGCAAGAAGGACAGTTATGTGAACAAACTGGGTTCCGAAAATGATTCAGTAAGATGGACTGAATCCATAAGACAACAAAACTCAGTGGAGTATCTCGAGAGTGCAAAAGACCACTCTTCTCACTTTCATTGATTTAAAAAGGGCCTTTGACTCAGTTGAGATAGAAGTAGTTATGGAAGCTCTGAATTGTTAGGAAGTCCCTACTCAGAATATGAAGATTCTTCGTGAGGTGGATAAAATTTTCACAACCAAACAACTGTGTTCACATCGACGTAAAAGAGGGATTAGGCAGGGTGATACCATCTCACTAAAATTATTTACCGCTACCCCGAAAACGTCATGCGGACATTGAAATGGAATAACAGGGAGTGAAAATCTATAGCAGGCAATTACACCATCTTCGCTTTACTGATGACATCGTCCTCATAACACCAAACACTGGCCAAGAGGAACGCATGCTTGCCGACTTTGATAAAGCCTGTGGAAAGATTGGTCTTCGACTAAGTCCCACAAAAACGATGTTCATGAGAAATGGATTGGTTTCGTATGCCCCATTCAAGCTCAACGGAACGAATATCTCGATTTCTCCAGCTATGTTTACCTACGTCAGGAAATCAATATGATGGACGACTTAGCTCCAGAGTTGAGCATAAGGAAACGAGCGACTTGTGGAGTTTTCACGAGCAACGAGGAGTAAAGAGAACAAAGAACACGCGACACCGTGCCCACCTTTTCGACTCAACAGTATTTCTTACCTTAACGTATGCGTCAAAAACCTGGTTGCTACGCAAGCAGGATCAAGATCACTCGGAGTTGTTGATCGCGCAATCGAAAGAACGATGCTAGGGGTATACCGTGTAACACAACTTAGGGAAGGGATCAGAAGCTCCGACAACGTCAACGACTAAAATCGGAGATGACGTTCCGTACGCCAGATAGTCGAAGACAAGGTGGGCTGCACATGCAAGGCGTACGGGCAACACCCGATGGGCAAGAGTTGCTAGTAATTGAATTTCTCGAGATCTCAAACGTACTGTTTCGAGACCTTACCCGATAGCAAGAGTTGTTCATTAAAAACCTAGAAGAAACGTGTCATTCTCCACGAGTTTCTGGAGCGAGCAAAACCCACTAAGCTATTCTTGCACGCAACAAAGAAAAATGGAAGATTTAGCGCTGCCCACTCTAGTCACTCGACGATCGACGGGGCTACAGGTAATACAGCTTATACTTATTACTATTTTATCGCACTTTCTCAAATGAGACGATTTTTTCTTGAGAATTTTGGAGCAGTGGTTGAACTGACAAGAGGTGGGTTTTCAAAGTTCGTAAAGAAAACTCTTCCTCGTTACGAAACAGCATTTCCTCGGTGATGTTTGTCATCAGACTCTCATTGTGCGACCGATCGGCACAGAAAGCCGAGAGCACCACTCGAATTTTCCTCTTGTCTCTCATATTAGTGAACGCCGTATTTTTTGGGTTTCTCGTAAAACCCTTTCCGCTTCACCTTTCGCAAGGTATAATCCTTAAACCATTCACTTAGTCAGATCTTGTCAGACGCTAGTCACCAAAAATATGTTGGTCTCAGCCAGTTCTAACATTTCGATATTACACCTGCTTGAATTTCTGTGATAAGACCGTTTTCAGAAGCGAGATTTTAGCAATGCATTCGTGTGGTTCTTTCCCTCCTCTTATGTCCTTTCTTTTTCACATAAAATTACATTCCTCTAACGCTTCGTCTTTCTTCATAACTCTATATTTTTCCTCATTCTTCGCGTTTACATTCATTTCCTGAAGTTGGCCAATTTCAACGAGCTGACTGGGTGTTGTTTTGTTTTCCAAACAAAACTCTACCTACACAACTCGTTACTTTTTTACATCTAAATCCAGCAGTGGGGAATTGCTTTCTGGTTTGGCTGTACAATTTGAGAAAATCATCATTTTAGCCGCTTAGCCAGAGCCTTGCCGCAGGCAATAATAGAACAATTTTCTCCATTTGCATGCCCTCCATGAATGAAGAAAGCATTTATGACATCCTGTTTTTGAATGCAAGCTCAACACAGCGGTTCACAATTTTCTTTTTGATAATGCATGCCTACAGAAAAACAATTTAGAACTTCTCAGTTCTATTTTACTTCCATAAAGTGCTATTTTATCTAACCTTGCTCAAGATACTATTCTTTATATGTCATTACTTATCACACAACTTTATCTTTAGACCAATTTGTCGGCTTAAGGGCTGTGTAGGTGTATTATAAAACATTTTTCCATTGGAAAAGTGGAAGTCGGCTTCAATTCCGTTCAGATAAAAGAACCACAACACTAGCCACTGAAAGAAGGAGCTTGGCTTGACTATTGTCTTATGTGCCAAATGTGTTAATAAACAAGCCATCGAAGTACCTTCGATTCCAAACGTGGAAAATATGTAATCCAAATGACTGCATTAGCAGATCGGAACGGGTTACGACTTGACTATAACAATGCTGTCTTTTTCCAGGTTAATTTAGTCGACGAGTGATTAACGGAAGATATTTCGAAACCGACCTTCCCTAAACCTCGGTGTGACTAATCAATATGTATTCTTTCTTGATAAGCTTGCACGAGGTAGATAAATATATTTATTTTCGGCTAACGTTTCGACGTCTTCGTCTTCCTCAGAGCCGATGATCCGAGTCGATGGTCCATGCTTGTTGTTTGTCTCGACGTTGCAGCTTCGCCTTCGTGTCGAGCCAGGTCTTCCTCAGTGAGCCATCTTCTCGAACCGACTTCTGCACGATGTGCGCAATGATGACTGGAAGAAATACAAGTTGTTAGCACCGGACATTATCATTATATATAAACCATCAGCATGGTGTATAAAAGGGCATCACTGAGTAAGGATGCCTCATTCGAGAAGATGGCTCACTGAGGAAGACCTGGCTCGACACAAAGGCGAACCTGCAACGTTGAGACGAACAACAAGCATGGACCATCGACTCGGATCATCGGCTCTGAGGAAGACGAAGACGTCGAAACGTTAGCCGAAAATAAACATCATTATCAACCTCGTGTAAGCTCATCAAGAAAGAATACATATTGATTAGTGATACCGAGGTTCATGGAAAGTCGGTTTCGAAATATTACTACGCTTTGTGCTAGATGATATCTTGGTTTTCAAAGTTTTGTACAGCTCACGAAGAATCTTTATGCACTGATTAGGGGCTCCTTGACCATCAAAGGCTTCCATGACTGCTTCTGTCTCAATTAAATCAAAAGCCTTCTGCAAATCGATGAAAGTGAGACAGAGCGGTCTTTTGCACTCTCGATACTTCAATGAGTATTGTTATCGCGTGGATATGGTCCATCGTACTATATCCCTTTCGAAACCCTGCTTGCTCACATGGCTATCCTTCGTGTAGTGTTCTGGCAATGATGTTTAGGATGACTCGAGTGGAAAATTTGTAGGCGACAGGCAGCATGCAGATTGAGCGGGACCTTGCATTCAGACAGGTAATCTGTGAAGAGACGAGCCACTGTGTTTACGAGGACTGGCGCTGGTGTTCTTGTCTTATCCTTTCCGGACCCGGTGCTGTTCGATTTTTCACCAACGAAATGGCATGTCGGATTTCGGAAGGGAGAACCGGTAGTACAACATATCCATCCTCCTTTATCTCATATTACGGATGGTGGACGTGGCTATCGAAGAGATCTGAGTAGTGTTCGTGAATGATTTTTTCCATTACGTTTCTGAACGCTGTAACTGTTCCGTCTAGGCTTCGAAGTGTAATCATTTTGGTCCTGTAATTGGCGAACCTTCGGTGGGCTTCGCGAATGCTTTTCGCGGCCTCTTCAGCTTCGACCATTACTGATGCTCTTTTCTCCTTAAGATCCTCTTTTATCGCATGTCTGCATTGTTTTGAAAGTTCGGACGTTAGTTCGCTGTTGGGTGCAGCTCATGCGATTCCCCACTGGCGTATCAGCTCGAGTGTTTCTCGAGAGAAATGTCTCTTGGTGAGTTTCGAACTCTGAGCTTACATAGCGCTGAGGTGAAGATGTCGAATGAGCCAATCGTATTCTCCGTTGATGTTATCGGCTGCCGCATCATCCTGACAGCCGATTAATGAATTGAATAAGTCCCAGTTTACGGTGATTCTGTGACTTTGGTTTTGGAATTTAGAGGGTTTTTCTCCTTTTCGCGAGAAACAGAATTTTTCACCAAGGAGACGATGGTCTGATCCCGTGTAGATTTTGGGGCAACTGCGACATCGGTTAGGCAAAACATTCTATTTACTGTGATGTGGTCTATTTCGTTATGGCACTCTCTATTGAGAGACTCCCACGTCCAGCGTCGATGGTGGGGCTTCTGGAATTTCGAGTTGCCATGGATGGTCTCAGTCACCATGAGATAGCCGCTCACTCTGTTCGTTCCATTGTATTCCATGGGTCCCAATTTGATGCTCTGCAGACGTTCTTCTTGGCCCAATCTTGGACTTGAAATCTCCAATGATGACTTTGAAGAATGTATGGTCTTCTCTGTAAAACTTCTCCAAGTCCACATAGAATGCTTCGACTTCTTTGTCATAGTTTGATGTCGGCACGTAAACGACGAAGACTGTCAGAACCGAAATTTGTCAAATCGATCCACATCTTATTAATCGTAAACGTCCGATACTGATTGTAAGCCATTCGAATGAATCGGTGTTCATGGATAAACTCGTGTTGACGAAAACGCCGACACCGCCGATTCCTCTACTGTCGCATGTTCCG